CCCCCCTGGTTTTTATTGACACAGAACAAGGGGGAACACAAGGTGACAGACTCCTGTGTTATGCTGGTGTACCTTGAGAGCGGTGAGACTGTATCACCATCGGGTACTGAATCTGCACCCTTGTTACGCCTTTCTTAGCCCCAAAATACGCTCCACGTCTATTTCTTTGCATGGGTTGATGCGCAAGGGCTTTGGGGTAGGGGTGGGGGTGCTCCCACCACCTAGTAACTAAGGATGTAAACTTGAAGTACAACTTCGTAATAGCGTGAAGTGCAGCAACAAGGTGTTTTTGGTTGGTAGTCATGGGGCGTGTCTTTGAGTAAGAAGACCCGGTAACCCTACTGGAGTATTGATATAGGTTAACGGGTTTATATTTAAAATTACATTTCTATGTAGATCCACATTCAGATCCATAGTTATGTTATATCAATCTACGAAATGAAAGTGGAACTGACGCCCGTCCAACTAGTCTGTTCTGTTCTATCGGACGTAGTAATGCCAACAAATCATAGCAAGGGTCAGCTACATGTATGTTATTATACCTTTGACATAAGGGTGAGGTATGTCGTGATGAAATCAGGCAAAGGTCAAAATAATGATATCGAAGAAACCGACATTTTTTCCCGCCCCATGGGCGTTTTTTTTATCGATTTTGTTTAGATCAAGACCTTTTATGTTCATTTAAAACACCTTCCTGGGTGGATTTTAGTGCAAAGATATTGATTAAAAGCACAGAAGAATATCAATTTGCAGTTTCCAAAGGCATTACATCTTTGGAACTCACCAAACTATGGTCGCAATTTTCTCGCTGATTTTACTTTCGACACCAGGTGATCCCCACCTCCTTCAATCGCAAACATCTCGACTACTATTCAAGATAGATAGATATTTTTTCATCGAATGCAAGGCAAATTAACTAGCAATACGATGATACCAATAACTTTTATAAGCACAAACAACATCAAAAAGAATCAAAGAAGTTAACCAGCGCCTGTTTCCAGCACGACGTGCGTGATACATTAATTGGGCTAATTAAGATAGACGCTTGGGTACAAAGGTAAGCGGAACCACAGTAAGTTGAGTAAGCCCCAGAGACTTGTTTACGCCATTGTGTCACTCACTACGTCATTGCCGGTCTCTGGGTATTATATCATTACGTAATTAATTAAATCCGGGCTAACCACCCGGACTAGGAAAACAACAACACGACAACAGTCCCAGACATCAACCTTACCTATCTACTGCGTCGAATCTCCTGGGACCGCAAGAGAAGGTTATGGTTCAAAACACCAAACGCAGAGACCCTGTGCGTATGGTTATTTATGCCTAAATAGTTTTTCAGAAATATTTGTCATTTTGCTTGATATTTACTTCGGCGTGCTCGTCGTTCGGGGGTTAAAGCAACCCTGAACGAATTATTATTTTTTCTTCGCTGCCGGAACTGGTTGTCTGTAAACGCGTTCAATAATATTATGTTGTTGGGAATCACATTCGTATGTGACAGTTCGCTGTTTTGTTGTTTTGAACCCCGTAAACCTCGGTTCAGTTACCGAGCAATTCTGTGAACAACGTTAAACGAAATTTGCTCAACTCACTTGATCTCCTTACACCACCACCACCACCAACAACAACAACAAAAACAACAACAAGAAAATCAATAACAACAACAAAACCAGCAAAAATGATACCCTTCCCCCAACTCCACACCCCTCACCACTAACCAGACGAGGTAGTTAAAATATGTTGTATTCTCTGTATCAAGTTTTGTTTCAAACCTTAACATTTTCAATATAAAAAGGATAGGTTTCAAGCTACAAGTAAATAATTCCCACCAACATTTTGATACACAATGAGAATAAAGTTGCAATACAGGTAACCATAAATTTATGGCAAATCAAAAAACAAAAAGCAAAAACAAACAAAAACAAACAAAACAAAAAAAAACAAACTAAAGCACCCCCCCAAAAAAAAGACCCCCCACAAAAAACCC